GAAAGGGTCACCTGGTATTTGAGGTGGTTCTATTTTTATTAAATCGTATTCCATATATGTCTATTTTATCTTCTGTAGAATGATATTTGCAGCGGTGTTTCTTCCATTACTCCGTCCAGTCATTATTGCCGTTCTCGTTTGAAAACCCTGACGATGGACTTCATGGCCTCTAGTCATGCCCATGGCGGTTCTGCATTTTTCGCTAGCTCGTCGCTGGACTCTGCAGTCCACAAGGTCGCATCTCCGGCCTTTCGGTGATGAGCACGTGACCTCTACCGTTCCCTCATCCTTTCGACCCGGTTGTACGCGATGATCTCCTCCTGTCTGACCTCCCTTATGGTTGATCTCGAAGCCGGTCGGGCGGTTTTACGGTGGTTAACGGGAGCCTCTGCTGCTATATGGTTTCTCCAACGACAAGAAGCTATTCCAACCCTCATACGTTCTCATCAACAGCCCTTTCTCATTGCACTACAACAATCCTACCAAACAACCACTTTACTTTTATAGAAGCAGTGTTTTTCTCCTACGTTTTTTTAAGTAGGGGTCTGCTGAACGTACGAGTTTTTTTCACTGCTTTCTCCTTAGTCCACCATACATTTCGGAGAGTGTTGACTATTATTTTAAAATGACGATATGTTGGCGGATATTACTTTATCTGCCGACAATACTAAACACTCCCGCTGTCTATGTGGTCGTTCACAAAGAGCAGCATTTATCAACTTTGTATTTATTTTTCCATAGCACTAAGTTTGCAGAAGGTCCTCCGGGCCCAAAATATAAAAAAAATTTATTTATTTAAATCAATGCTAGTGAATTTACGCCACCAATATCTTAGAACTAAACCTCTGGGCCTCGGACACACCACTAAACAGCATCCGGAGAAACTCAAAGTTTTGCCGGACACCGGTTCTATTCTCGTTCTTATGAATAAAAGTGTTTGCGTCTCCAAGATTGAATCAATCCTGGCTGACGACAGTAAGTTCAAAAGGGAAAGGCAGAATAAGGATCAAATCGAGAGCGTAGAATTTCGACTCACATCTTGTCTTCGGAAACTGGAAGATCACGGTCTCCTTAGTGAACAAGAGTTAGAAGCGCTCAAACTCACAGGCACAGTTCCCCCAATGCTCTATGGTTTGCCTAGGAGTCACAAACCAGACGTTCCAATACGGCCAATAATTGACATATGCGATTCGCCATATCATGCAACTGCCAGTTGGCTGGCAGACAAACTGAAACCGATTCGGCACCAAATAGCATCGCACAGCCTACGGGAAACGTTTGAATTCGTTTAGTCCATAAGAAACACAAATTTCAATGGGAAAACAATGTTACCCTTAGATGTCGCATCTCTGTTCACTAGCATTCCCCTCACAGAAACCATAGAATATTTGTGTAACGAGATTGTTAAAAATGATCTGAAGGAATTACCCACCCACAGCACGTTAAACGTGTAATTCAGCTTTAATGGCCAATTTTACCGCCCAAATCGATGGCCTGGCGATGGTATCACCGCTTGGACTTCATTAGATGATGCCTTCGTGGGATAACTGGAGAGCAACAAACTTTCCCTTATTATAAAGAACCTTCCTTTCTATGCTAGATATTGATGATATTTGTAATAGCAGATGTAATTACTGAGTTGGACACTTTCTTAGATAAAGTAAATCAGGTGCACCCAGCGTTAAACTTTACTATAGAAAAAGAAGACAGACTGTGCCTCCCCTTTCTAGACGTCATTATTAAAAGGCCTGATGGAACAATAAGTAGAAGTGTATTTCGCAAGAAAATCTGGGCAAGGCAATACCCAAATTTCTACAGTTTTGTCCACTAAGTCAGAAACGAGACCTAGTCCCCTGCCTCACTAACCCAGCTAGGAGAATATGTTCTCCAGGGACACTGGAGAACGAACTCGCACTCATCAAAAACATTGCAAGAAAATGGTTTTCCCTAGCATTTCATCAATACATTTATGGAGGAAAATCCACTAATATCGGAAGTCCTGACGGCTGAGAATAAAGCCTTATTCCGTATATTGCATTTTCAAGGGGATCCAGCAAGCGAACTTCTACAGCTTCACCGGAACGCTGCAGTCACGCGTACGTATCCAGCAGCTAAGTTAAGATTCGAATTTTCAACCACTCCTCTTCTTCGCCTTGAAGGCAAGGATAGATCCCCTTTCCAGACCTCTCCAGTGTGTATCTACATCTACATCTCTTGTGGGGCAAAATTATTGGTTGAACAACTAGGTGGCTATTCAGGCGCATGCGAGAAAACCATCCTGCCTGGCTAAACAGGTGCGAGGTTAAGTCAATATCAAGCGAGATTTTGGCTCATTTGGTTGACAGCTGTCACCGGATAGACGTAAACCAAGCGTTTCAAGT